AAAACTCTAACACAGTTCTTAGCACCAAATAAGTAAAAATAGTTATTATATATTATTTCTATAAAAAGTCGAGAGAGTTTTGGAAGAGAAAGTGGGACTAAACAGCAATTCTGTCACTCACTGCTGCTGTGGATCAACAACAGAAAACCCTTCTCAGAACTCTGAGTTTAGCCTGTTTCTCTCTGCGTTCCACAACTTTGAGAGTTAGAAAAAATGGAAGCCTGGCTTTGCAGAAATGTCACTTCTACATCAAAATTTGCAGATAAGCTGGCATTCTCTCCTTTGCCTTATTAGTTTAAATTTTTCAAAAGCATCCCAAAGTATAAGCAAAGCAAACATTGGGACAATTCCATGGATTCTTCAAAGAAAAACATTTATTTCCAGTTTCCATTACCAATATCAAGGCATCAAGAAGAGAACTGCAGTTTCCTAGATACGTATAGGCACCTTAGTAATGATCAGATCCATCGACACATAGAGAAGTCAATGTACAAGAAAGCCTCAGTCATTTCCTTAAAGATTGCAATCGAAGGCCCTGGATTTACTCAAATATGGTAACATTTTTTGTTTCCTCCTGTAGATAAGATTGCTTCATCTAGACCAAGATACGTATTTTGAATTTAATGGAAATATACCCTTAGTCCAAGTATTTAAGTGCAACCCTCTATCAAGCCTTCGTATTTACTTAGTGTTTCAGCAAATTGCTGATCCTCTAGTCTCGCTCAGAAGAGACTCTAGTGGGGAAGGCACTGCCACCAACTGGGTGACAACACTGAGAAGCAGGGCCAGTCTGAAGTATGGAGGAGTTCAGGGTAAGCTGCTCGCCCGCAGTCCGACCTCTGCCCTGCTCTGGGTCCCGTGAGGCCGAGCCTGCCGTCTGCCTCGCAACGCGACGGCAGAGCCCAGTTTTCTGATTTCTCCTGCACCCCGTCTTTGGCACCCCGGTTTGGCGAGGCTGCATTCCCCCTCTCTATGGCTGCAGCGCTTGGCGGGGTCCAGAACCGCTCCTCCCCTTAGTCCCTTTAGATGTAGAAGGTAGCAGCTCTGGCTATTGTTAGTCCCCGTTGACTCCCAATCCTGCCCTCATCTCCATAAATAGTCCTTACATGCAACTGCCTTCAAATGCCCCTTCGAGCCTGCCATGTGCTCCTGCTGAGACCCTGTGGGACGCAGGGGGACACTGCCACCCCACCTCCCACAGGCACAGCGCAGCAGGCAGGCTTGAGGCGCTCCCTCCCAGGGGCGGAGAGGTAAGGAAGAGGACTTCCCGCAGCTGCAGGGACGGCAAGACCGTGCCTCCTCCTGTCTCCGTGGGAGGGCCTGAGTCTTCAGTGCCAGGGGACCAGCGTGCCCCTCCGGCCCCCTGGCCAGAGAGCTCGACGAGGGAGGGTGGCCAGGAGAGCTCCGTGCGGGCTGGGCTGTCCCTGAAGACGAGGGTGCCTCTTTCCCCCGGTCTGCTGCCCCCACGTGGATCTTCCAAATCCCTATTCTTATGGATACGTGGCCCATGGGTGTGTTTCTTCATCTCATGAACTAAGCTCTGGGCGCCTGGGGGTCCAGCGTGGGACTTGCGGCCTCCATCCCCCGTCCTAGCGCTAGGTGTACACTGGGACTTGATGAGTGGTGAACAGTGACAGGTTACTACATACTCAGCCTACAGAATAAAGGGAGTAAGTAAAACAGGCCTCGCCCTTGGCTGGGTAATTCCACAGGACCTACGATGCAGGTGACTTTGGGGAGCCTTTCTTTCCGTGGGGGTCTGAGTGCAGATGTGGATGCGGACCTACTACGGAGCAGACACACGGCGGCTCCGACGGCGCCAGCCACAGGTCAGCCCCACGCGTGAGTGCCCCCGCCCCCGCCCCGCCCCCTGGCTGGCCTGCCGCTCCTTGACCACCCCTTAGTCAGGAGGCCCCAGGAGCCTTTAGGGACCCTGCCTGTGCGCGGGTGCTTATCGCAAAAAGCTGTCAAAGTGGGCAAGTCGCAGGAACTCTAATTAAGTCGCTGACAGCATGATTCACTGGAAGGGGGAGGCACGGCAGGTCCCCAGGAACCCGTGGCGAGTCACCGCCTTAGGCGAGAGACAAGTACGAATGCAGGCCTGCGGGGCTCCTGGGCCTCAGCTCGCCGCCCGCAGGTAAAAAGCCGCACTTCCCGGGGCGCGGCCTCGCGCCCAGGTGGCCCCCTGGAGCCTGCGGACAGATCACAGCCTCCAAGGGCTTGCTGAGCAATTAACAACTTCCCCACGTGGAATCTGCAGGTTTATACTGTATGTACTGGTACAGCCTAACTTTGAAAAGGTGGACGATAGAAAGGAGTATTGTCTGTGGGAAAAAATCCTACTGGATGTGTCAATATTCTGTCAGGGCCGTGCAGGAGGGGGCTGGGGACAGGCATCGTGTGGCTGGCCACCTGCCCTGCTGCCAGCCATCGCTGTCCTTCTGACGGGAGGGTCCTCAGCTCTGAACAGGATCTCAGTTCTGGGTTTTTAGCCCCTGCGCGTGCATGCATTACCTCAAAACCACAAGAGTCAAATCCCCGACGGGTGCTGGGTGAGCCGACGCATCCAGGGCAACGAGGGCGTCTCTGCACGGCGACGTGCAGGTCGAGGAGCCCTCAGATGGGTGTGTGAGCAACACAACTTCATCTCAAAGACAACATGCTCTTTTGTAAAAGGGAAATCAATTCTTTTCATAAATGACTTCTATGAGATTAGTCGGGGTCTGTACAGACTCAGCATTTACACAGGCGAAATACATCCAATATTTTAGTCCATTTGCTTCAGCATTTTATCTATACTTTTCAAACTAATTCTTGTAAGAACTGGGTTTGGGGGCTGATAGGCTAGTGCCTCCCCCGTCGTTCTCTATCCTTCTTAGGTTGTAACAACATGGGGTTAGCTAGTAAATGCAAATTTGAGATCAGCTGCCTGGGAAAAGCAAATGAAATACTCCCACTTGGCCGGAATGGACATGAAGAGGACCCGACACAGGGTGGACAATAAAGGTAACAAACGAGACAGCGTAGCCTGAGGTCCTTCACTTGCCTCCCCTCTAAAATGTGGGTCCATCGTCAACTCCTGAAGGGACAGCGGACTGGAGCTAAGAGACATGCTTCGAGTTTACCGTTCCTTAGAACACGGAGATGAGACTTCTACAGCCCACGTGGCCAGTCACTGAACTCAGCGGCGCTGCAGGAGGCGGGAGAAGCCCCAGACCCCGGTCTGCCTGCCGAACCTGAGGGTCGCTTCGTTCCGTCTGATTAGAGGCCAGAGGTTTCGTGCTGACACTCCATCCAGGTCTCTCCCAGGGGGCGCTTTTATTCGCAAAGGAGACCAGACACTGGAGAATAGACGGGTCTGGGGTAACTTTCCGCAGTTCAGTAAAGATGACAAGACCAAGGACACCACACGCGTTCTGGCTGTTTCTTACGGGTTTCTTTCCCTGACTGTGGCATTGACAGGCATTTTCTTTGTGACATAAATCACAACCCTTACCCTAAACCTGGGGACCTGGTGTGTTTTTAAATGGTTTTGCTTCTTTAGATTGTGCAAAGGTAGTAAAATGTATATACTCTATATTCTGTAATGTTCCCAGAATCATCTTATAATAAAACATTGTATTTCTGCAGCAAAATGTATAAATATTCACATTCAATGGGATAAATGAATGCTGTAAATAGTCACAAATTTGTTTAGATTGGGTTCTGTTGCCACATGAGTTTGGTCAAACCCAGATAAAAAATGTTTGTTTTTAAGAGATTTTAGGTTGAGAATGTCAAACAAAGGATAAGGGATTTGTATTTTTCCAAACCTTTCGAGAATCTGTATTTTTAATGTTTGCTAACTTCATGAGATAATTTGTCCCATACGTTACTGCCCTGAAATACTCTTTTCTCACTTCGGACATTACCAGTAATCACCGTCCTCATTGAATTGCTCCCCACATTCCTGGTGACTTAGCGGTTCGTTATTTCTGGTCATGGTAAGCTGTTCAAGGCTCCTATTTCCTTTCGGCAAATGGCCCTGGGCGCTGGGCTGGGCTCTCTCTACCTGCATCGGTCAGCAGCTTCCTTTGACTGTAAGCAAGAGAGACCCATCGCGACTCAGGCAGAAGAGAGATTTTTAGGAGAGCACAGAATGAAAAGAACAGTTGAAGAACCTTGCTTGGAAGGAGCAGGGATAGGAAAAGCTTTCAGACGGAGATTAGGAATATTTTATCAGGACTTCTCACCCCCGTCTTTACAATTCTGAGTCACTCTGCTGAAGACCAGGCCCCAGGCGAGCTGGAGTCACATGCCCACCGCTCGGCCAGGGGACGGCCTGACAGTGACTGGCAAGCCCGAGTCACTGCCCCACAGGAAGCGGGGCTGCTCTTCCAGGAACACAGGTGCATTCTGATGGCCCAAAGAACAACCCTAACATGTGTCTCCCATAGATTTCACAATCCATTCAGAATATTTGTCATACTTCCTGGCTTTTCAGGGATAGGCAAGTCCTACTTTTGAGGCTGTCCTTACCCCCTTGGTTTCACCCCCTCACAGGTCGGTCGTTTTCCTCTTGACTTCTTGCAACATTCTGTATCTGTCTTGGGCACAGGGGCTGGGGACGCTGGCCATGAGATTTTATGTTGCCTTGGTACAATGAATGAGCTATTTTCAAAGGGATCTTTTTACCAAGAAGGACGTCCTATCAAGGCAATTCTGAGAGACGGTAGTTTAAGGACAGGAACCACTTCACCCATGAGACATGCAGATACTCTGCCTGGAATCTACGAAGGGATAACAAGCCTATGGATTAAGAACCCAGAAAATGAAGACGGCAAATTAACATGGTCTTTCCTCCCTCATTTACTACTCAAAAATTATTAAAAGGTGTTATTAACTTCCTTAAGCCCTGTATTTCTTTAAGCAGCTTTTCCAATTGCAAGCGCTTTTTATAGGCAGGTGCCAACGTGCGCGCACGACCTCGGTGTGAGGCGCTGATTGTGCACAGCTCTTACCTGGTACTCGTACTCCGTGAAAGGCAAGAGGTCGGAATCCATGAAGGAGCTCGCGCTTCCGTTATAGGTGAGAACTGGGCTCGGGTGTCCAGGCGGAGTTGAGGTTTGCCTTCTGTACAGTTCGTAGTGTAAAATGCGTCCATTTGGCCGAAGCGGTCCTGTCCACGACAGGGAAACCGTGAGCCGGAACCCCCCGGGGGCCGTCTGTACCTCCAGGTGTGGGGGAGGCTGCACTTCAGGTGCTGTCTCGGGGGTCCGTATAGGTGTCCAGTCGCTGGACGCACACCCCAGCACAGTGCAGGCCTGGATCCGTACTTCATACCTTCAGGACACAGGCAAAAATCTCCCATTACTGGCAAAATAGATTTTCATTGGAAGAATCTTTAAAAGACTAAGAGTTTAGATAAAAAAGCAAGTGAGTTTATATTTATTCTTATTGATAGCTGACTCTTAAAAAAAAAAAGTAAATGAGTCATATTTCCATAGAAATTTTAGAACATTTAAATTCTCCTGGATTTCGAAAATAAAGAATCTCATCTCTCGGGAAAGGGGGGATACGATTCTTCCCTAACCAGGAGTGTCTGCAATAAATAAGCTTTATGATTCTCTCCAGCGCGCAAGTTCTTTAAGTCTGCAGGACTGCTGAACGTGGCGATGAAGGATGCAGACCTTGGGGACTGCGAGCCACTCCCAGCAGCCTCGGGCCCTCCCTCACCTGCACCTGGGGCCGAAGGAGTCGCCAGGCACGTTTCCAGGTCATGAAGGAACACCATGGGGCTCAAGCCTCCCCGATAATAATAAACGCCCTCACCCGATACCTGACACCTTACAACAGGCCCCCACGCACCACACAAGCACCTTTCCGGGCCAGAGTGAACCCAGCTGCACGCGAGATGATCCATCACTGAGACACCTTTATCACCATCCAGTTAAACTCGGCCAATCAATTATATGATGTCTCTCCGGCCACTTGCAAAGGCCTATTTACATAGCAGGGACTGTCCCCTTCCACCAAAAGGGGCCTTTGTTAGCATTAAGTGCCTAGGGCTGCAAATGAGTGCTTTTGCCTGTCTTCCCATGCCCCCCACCCCTGATTCTGTGCCCCCCCCAATTTGCCCTCAAGCATATTTCTTTCTCCCTTTATTCCTTTGGGGGCCAGCCTTTTCTCTTCTGTTTTCCGCCTCTGTCTCTGCTCCTTTGATCACTGCTTTCTGCCTCCCTTTCCCCTTCTAGTTACCCTTGTTTCTCTCTCCCTGAGACGCCTTCCCTTCCCCGCCTTCCCTTCCCCTCTTCTGTTCTTTCTCTCCCTTTCATGTCATGCCCGTCTCGGCCTTGATGGGGCTACCCGTTGAGTGGAGAGCAAGTCCCTTGCTGAGTACAGATGTGACCTTTAAGTGAATCTCTGCATTCACTTTTGATTTTTCCACAACTGGATCGTCTCTTTTCTGAATCATCTGTAGTAGCTTCAAAACTCTGAGTTGGACCCCTGGCTGCCACCCAGGGATTCCCAGGTCCTCCTTCCTGCTGGCCAGGAGGCACACCCCTCAGTAAACACTGAACTGCTGGGAAAACCCATACCTACGTGAATCCCCACTTCACACACACGTGATCTTCTGACTTAAGCCAGTAATGGCATTTACATCTTCAATTACTGAAGATGATGAAGAGACAGCTCTTGCTGCCTTAAATATCATCACTAGATTTATGAGATACATCAAACTTTTTTTTTTCAGCCTGGGAAAAATGCCCCCTTCACATCGAAAAACCCTCTTCTTCTCCAGAAATCTTTTTGAATAACAGTTTCAAAGAGCAGCAAGTTGGTATGATTTTTAAAACCTGCAGGTACGAGCCAGGTAAAGAGGAAGCAAGTGCTCAAGGCACAGAGTCTGCCATGAACGTGGGCCTTCTGTGCCCCGCATCAGGGTAAAATAAAAGCCAACTCACAGAGCGTGTGGCTTCGCCATGGAAGATACCAGCACAGGCTTTAGGGACTAATATTTAATGCGACCCTAAATAACTGTCATGAGTAGATGCATAAGCCTGTGACCGCGTCATTGAAACAGCACTATGTAACAGACGTAATTATAGAAGGCTCTAATCTTCACACGGGTAGATTACAATAATAGCCACGTTTTACCAACGGCGGTTAGAAATCAACTCAGCCTTTAATTTTTTAAAGTGGTTCTGTTCATTTCACTAAACTTTAAGCATAAAATGCCTTTTAGTACCCTTCTCTCTGGGGATGCAAGTCACTTGAAATGTGGAGGGGCTCTACCCTGCCCCGCTTTAGGCAGCGGGAAGAGGGCCGGCAGGCAGGTTTCTGCCCATGGAGAGCTCACCCTGCCGGCAGGGAGCCCCGAGGGGCCACTAAGAAAACATGGGCTGACCAAGTGGCCCTGTCCCGAGAAACCCTCAGGGCAGGAGGACAGCAGCAAGGGGCTCCTTACCTTCTTTATCCGCCATAAGGTGCTGAGGAAATAGAGTCAGGGGAGCGTCATTATCTTTGGAAGAAGAGCCAGATTCCAGAACAAGGGCACTCCCAGAACTAATTTTGGGTCAGTCCAGCCTGGGCTGGTAAGACCTCTCACCCGCTTGCACTTGTTTTACAAGGTATTACCATAATACCTCACTTTTCGCCCAGCCTGCGTCAGCTGACCCTGCTGAGGCTCTCGGAAACGACCAGGGCCTGCCTACTTCCAGCAGGGACTAGAATGAGGAAAGAATCTCATCTCGGTGCTCTGTTTTCCCAATTTGTGAGTTGCAGACATTTCTGGAAAAAACTGACTCTCAAAATGTCACCTGCACAAATTTCGCTCTCCAGAAACCATGCAAGCAGGCTGTGGCTGAAAGAGGGTGCGGTCTGCCCACCGTGCATGTGAAGCGGATGGGGGCTGGGCACCCACGTCTTCACCTGAACAGACCCAGGGCTCACCCCACGGAAGGGACAGCGGCTTGCTCTCGACAAACCCACAGCGAGCTACTACCCACCTACAAAACGGCTCCAGCTGGTTTACCACGAATGCTCGCGTGCCAAACAAATTATGCGTTGCATTTATGTGTACAGTTCTTATTTCTCTTTCAAGCAGCTCATGGACGAAGAGGGTATAGTTGACGATATGGCCATTGGTCCTCACGGGGGGGTCCCAGTTCACTGAGATCTCCCGAGGACCACTGGCCTGTAATTTCGGGGGTTCCATCCCTGAAGGCGCCCAGGGGCTGGTTTGATCTTTGACGAGCGGACTCAAAACGCCCCCCTGGCTGTTGAAGGCAGTCACTGTGTAGCCATACTCCACGCCTGGGGTGAGGGTGAAGTCATGGTAGCGAGTTTCCAGGCCGATATAGACGATGGTTCCGTCCCTCCTAAGTTCATAACTTCGGATGTGGCCATTTGGGGTCCTTGGAGGTTTCCAGGTGATTTCAATGGACTCAGAGCCTGTGACTTGCAATTCTGGGGGGTCCATGTCCTGGGGCGGGGCCTCCATGGTCCAGGCCGATTCTGACACACTCGCCGCACACCCTCCATTTGTACAAGCTATGAGGGAGACGTTATGCTGGGTGTGAGGCTGCAGGTGACCGATCAGCAGGGACAGGCTCTGCCCAGCAGGGTACTCCTGACCATTACATCGAAGTATGTATTTGGTGACCTTTCCATTTTGGATCGATGGCGCAGACCAAGATGCACTGATCTGAGTGGCACTGATGGCCCGAAGCGCGGGGGGGCTGACCCCGTCCGGAGCAGCCTCGGGAGTCACGGTGCTGCTGGCTGTGCTGGTGCGGCAGCCTCCACTCGTGCAAGCTGCGACCGCGTACCTGTACGTGGAGGAAGGGAGCAGTTCTTCATCGGTGTAACTGAAAGTCCCAGCGTCAAAACTGAGAGGGGAGAGCGCCCCGTTCTTGTGGAGCCGATAGTATTGGATGACGCCGTTGGGCTGCCTGGGAGGGACCCAGGAAATCAGCAGTTTTGGGGGACTAAGAGATACACAGGTGATGTTGGGTGGAGAGAGACCTTCGGGAGGCGCCGGCATCGTCCTTACCGCTGTCCACGAGCTACAGGCGTGGCCCGCGGAATTCCACGTGTGGATTTTATATTCACACGGCACCCACGGCTGCAAACCGGTGTCGTTATACACAAATGCACTCCTTTCAGTGTTGTATTCCGTGAAAACGACATCCTCATCGGCCTGGAGGGTCTGATTCCCCCAAGCTTTTCCCTCGGAGCATCGGCGAATCACTTCATAGCGACTTATCTTTCCATTTGGGTGAACGGGCTCAGACCAGGTCAGCTCCACGTTGGTGGAGCCCACAGACTGGACCCGGGGAGGCGGCTGAAACTGCGGCGGGGCTTCGTCGGTGCGCACAGGCTGCGGCGCGGACCGCGTGCAGCCGGCCCGGGTGCAGGCCTCCAGGGTCAGCGTGTAGACCGCGGAAGGGGCCAGGCGTCGGAAGAGGAACCGGCGGCTCAAGCCCGTGTACGCCAGGATCCCGTCACTGAAGATGTGGTATGTCTGCAGCAGGAAGAGAAGCAAAGGGAAGAAGACCCGCAGCCTGTTATTTCTTGGCGCTGCTATCTCGTCCCTTCTAACCTTTCCCCACTGCTCGTCCTCATCTTGATAACCCTAATCTGGAAAGGACAGTGTGATATTGATTTGGGGAATATGATGTAAAGTCCATAGAATGAAGAAAACTGTTTTTTTGTTTTTTTTTTTTGAGGTTGGATATTACACAGACATGTATCTACAAGCTAAGGGCTGCTGAATGTGATTCTGTGACTTGAATGAGGGCTCACAGGATTCCCTCCTATTATCATTTTTTTAGAACTAGGGAATAGTATTCAAGTTCACTATGTGACAGATACGAAGTGCTCCTGGTTTCATCCTGAGTAGGTTACGTCAGTCCCATCTACACTGTCTACCTCCCCCGGCATTTACTGGGAAATGGAATTACATGCTTTGGCATTCATACCAAGTTGCCAGGGCTGAAAGAGAGAGAGAGAGAGAGAGAGAGAGAGAGAGAGAGAGAGAAAGCACATAGAAAGACATCCCCACAAACGTACATACAAACCTGGATGACTAGAAGATGAAAATAACCACCCTCTTTCCTCTTGCAGGCCATGAAGGCAGCGGTTGTTCCTTTGGAGCAAGCACTGTCCTTTTTTTGGTGGGGGGGATCATCTGAACACCCAGCATATGCGCACGGAGCCCTTTTCATTCCCTGTTATTCATTGTTCTTTGGGGAAAATGAGCAGGACCCTAGCCAGGCCGCGGATGATTTGGAACAGTGGCTCCCCACCCCTTTCCTGCTGCAGTGCACCTGCGAGGACTTGTTCCTGTGGACGGTGGCGACTCCCTAGGAAGGCGTCCCTCAGAGGGGCCAGGACGCACATCAGAATGCCTGGGAGGGAGGTCTCATCTGAAACAGCCTCACCACTGGTTCCCAGGGAGGCTGAACTTAGGCTGGAACGTTGCTAGCTTTAGTGTGACTCAACAAGAAATAGTGTAGACTTCTGGAAACCTTTCCATGTTGGACCATGGTATTCAGGTGTGATTTTCTTGTTGGGGTCCTAGGGCAAGACCACACCACTGAGAGAAAGGGAATAGTGTATTTTCTGAAGTGAGCTTAGCTTCTCTAATCCATCTGGAAGTTTCCGTGGCTCCGTGGCCCCCTTGTGTTCACCCGGGAAATCTCTAGCTAGTGTTAAATTTGGTCTTCCCTCTGCACCCAAGCTCTCAAGTGGTCTTGGCAAAAAACCACTCACGTATGCTGACTGGCCTACTTCAAATGTCTTACCATAAATTTTAAATAGGTGATTGCCAATGGGTAATCCTACTCTATTCCCCGCCATTTGTGCTCTCGTTTTCCAAAGGGATGGTTTTATATCTCCTTCTCTCCCCACTAACCACCAACACCCTCCTCCCTCGGTCGCAGGCGGTTGTGGACGTAACCACGTGTGGGACTGAGAAGAAACAAGCTGCTGGGAAGATATGTTCGCATGTTGTGTGCTAGCAGCACCCTGTCCCTGTGACTCCGAATGGACACGCTTTGCCTCCTGCTACGAACGAAGACTCTTTGGCCCTAGAGAAGCCACTGAGCTCTGGATCCTACGCCTTGCTGCCAACAGATTTCACCCCGCGATTAGTCTCATCATCTCTGGTATCACCCGTCTGCCTCCCTCTATTCGGTTATTCCCGTTAGGGTTTCAGTGCACTCTCGTACCTTTCACTGGCTTTTCAGTAAACATTTCTGATACCACAGTCCCCTAGATAGCGCCCCATTTCTCTGCTTTTGTTTTCATCTCTAACTCTTTACCGAGTCGCCGCCCGCACTCCCTAGCTTGCCGCGCGCTCCCCAACCATCCCAGCCAGGTTCCCATCTCATCGCTCCATCTCCTTGTCACGTCACAACGACCTCCTCATTTCCAAACCCACGGTCACGTATCTGCCCTCATTGCACTCAGTCTCCCAAAAGCCTTTGCCATATTTCTCTTCCCTTTCGGATAACCCCCTCATCCCCTCTTCTTTCTACCTTACGTGCCTGTTCTCAAACTCTGTGGCTGAATACTCATCCTCCTCCTGGCCCCCAAAGCTCATCGCCTCTGGTTATATTCTCTCCACAGCGGAGCTCCTCTGGGCTCGTGGCTTTAAGTACCACCCATCTGCTCACGGATCCCCAATATGTCTGTCTTGGTGAAGAACCCCTGAGAGAGTTCCAGGCGTGTCCCTCCAACTGTCTACTTGCCCCCTCAAATCTGCACATCCTCCGGCCTTTCCTTCCCAGTGAGCGACTCGTGGCCAAAATCCAGAAGACCTTCTGAAGCATCCCTTTTACTTCCTGTTTCTCATCCAGTCCACACCAAACCTTGTCGCCTCTACCTTCTGAAGAGACCTCCAATCCACCCGCATTTCTCAGCCTTCACAACGCCTCCTCTGATTCACACAGAATCAACTCTGCCCTGAATTATTTAACAGCTCCCAAACTCCACTGGCCTCCTTGTGGTCCGTTTTCCACAAAGCAGCCAGAGTGATTTTGAAAAACATAAATTTGACTCTGCTGTTCCTTTGCCTAAACTGTCCAGTAATTATTCATCCCACACAGAGTCCATTCCAAACCCCTTATCGCAGCCCACAAGGACGGGCGGCGCCCCCCCCCCCCCGGCCCCGCACGCTCCCCGGTGCCGAGCGGCTCCCTGCAGCACCTCAACCGCGCTGGCTCCCTTCCCTTTATTTGAACACACCAAGTTCACTGCTGGCTTCAGGCCTTGTGCTCGCCGCCCACTTTGTCTGGAACATTTTGCTCTCATATCTTCACATGACTGACTCTGTCTTGTCATTCAGGACTCAGCTCCAATGTCGACTCAATTCAAATGATCATTCATTCTAAAGGAGCCCGAGTTGGCCTAATTACATTATTCTGATTAATTTTCTTCATAGCACTCAAGGGACCGAAATCCTTTTGTTTATATGTGTACCAGCTTTCTGTTTTTGGGTATGTACCCCTATGTTTATGCGCGCACATGTGCACACACACACACACACACACGCACATGCGCGCAAGGCCTATGGCAGCAGGGAATTTGCCCGTGTTATTCGCTCCGGAATAAATGCCTGGCACTTAATAAAAACACAATGCGTACTTGGTGAAATGGAAGTTAAGGTACACGGATATCATCCCTACTGTCCACCATGCCAGGAAGAGGCCGACTCAGGGACAGGAAGGACACACTCCCAATGACGGATGCTTTGGTGATGGGTGTGATGGGGCAGCTCTGTTCTCTGATGGGGACCTTAGGGCGGGGGCTTGGATTTTAAGGCCATGGACCCTGAAGGTCCAGCCTTCTGCCCTGGAGTAGAGGAGGCTGGCTCGGCCCCACACAGGCAAGCGGGTAGAGCGTGGCTTGCTTCCGCCGTGCGTAGCGGTCCTGGAGCCTGGCAGGGAGGCAGCCTTGGTCCTAAGCCGGGCGGTCCCGAAAGAGAGGCCCGTGAGGGTGGCCCTGGGACTGGGAGCCCTAGTGACAGATGTAAGTCGCTGCTGCAGATGAGTCCCTGCTGTTTTCCCACTCACAGGATTTTCAGGGAAGATTTATGCACGGATGCCACTTGGTCTTAGCTGTTCTCTGAGGAATTACTGGGGGCATCTTTGCCACCTTGAGGGGAGAGGTGACGGAGGGAGAGAGTGGCTGCAGCAGCTGGAGCCTGCGGAAATCCACGGCCCTGACCCACAGATGGACGGATGAGGGTCTGCGTGGCAGTCCTGGGCCGGAGGGGACGAGAGGCAGCGGCAGTAACAGACTGACAGCCGAGTCGCCATCGGCCTTGGGGAAGAAGGCGGGAAAGGGAGAGGAGGGGTGGCTTTCACGTGGGTGATGGTTCAGCCTCCTTTGTGCTCACAGGCAGGTGACTTAGGTGTGACATTAATGAGACGGCTCCTCTTGGCTACATATGGAGGGTGGGAGGCAGCGGACATGTGGGAGCTTCCTGCCTTCTGCTTAGCGAGCTCTGTTTAAGGCTTAAGCAAAACTCTCAGCAGGATAATTCGGGAGGCAGCTGAGAACACAGTCACTTAGAGTTCAGTTCTGGTGTGACTTCCTGGCTTCAGATCCCAATCCGGTCATTTGCGGCGTGGGCCTGGGCCGTCACACGGCCTGCGTAGGTCTCAGGACGTTCGGTGGTGCCTCCCTAGTGGGGCTGATGTGACGATCAAATGAGATGCTCCATGGGGAGCTCTTCACGGTGCTGGGTTTGCGGGAAGGACGGCACGAGGGAGCTACCTTTCTCTGCTCTAGGATTAAGGGCCCGGAGAAGCTAAAGGAGAATTAAAATGCTGGTGGAGGGAGTTTTTGCACTGTGACCCGACAGCATGCCATCAGGGCTCCTCCGTGCGCCTGGAGGACAGAAAACGGGACTTCGTGTCGGTGGGGGGGGGGTGCGGTTACCTGAATCACGCCGTTGCTCCTCGCAGGCTCCGGCCACCGCAGCAGCAAGGCCCGGCCGCTGTCTCTCTGTTCGACCGTGAAGTTGCTCAGTCCACTCGGGGAAGATTCTAGAGTCTGAACAGGAGTCCAGGGGCTTGAAACTTCTCCCGCCTGGTTGATGGCCACAACACCAACGTGATACGTTGTGAATGGTTCTAACCCGAACAGGTGGGCTTGATGGCTTGTTCCCTGCAGGAAAAGGAACAGGTTAACTTTCTTTGGGAACCCGCTAACAACAGCTGGAAAGTCGTTCCCCGAGACACATCGGTAATGGCGGCACAAATATCACAGCGGAGTTTTGCACTGCTACGAAAAAAATGTGGTTTTTTCTTGTTCTTGACACCCTGGTTGTGTGATTTCAGACACAAACCAACTGTGGATAAGATGGGATCCTTGCCTTTTCAGAGCCTGTGACCCAAAAGTTGTCATATATGAGGTCTGTCCATATGGCATCCAGCCATGTTATATGAAAAATAGAGACATTTATTGAAGAAGTCACAAGATACAAGAAACATCGTACACAGGACAAAGATGCCTCAGTCCCCTTCAAAGCAGGCACCTTGGGACCTCACACAGTTCTCTCAGTCACTATCAGCTGTCCCGTCCTATTTTCTTGAATCCTGTTGATTGTCTGCAATCTCTTCCCTTTCAAAGGCGATTTTAGTTTTGGGAAAAGTAAGAAGTCTCAGGGCACCAAATCTGGGCTGTAGGGGGCTGCGTCACCTGGGTGAGTTGATGTTTCGCCAAAAAACTCTGCAGGAGACGTGGTGCATAAGTGGACACGTTGTCATGATGAAGCTGCCAGTCACCTGTTGCCCATAGCTGCGGCCTTCTGAATCATCTGAATAGTTTCCACAGAGGAATGTTTGAACTTAATGCAAAATTTGATGCAGATTTGTTGCTCTACGTTCTGTCATTTTGAATGCGATGGCCACACAGTACATATGCTCACTCAATGGCGTCTACTGCCCCCACTGACTAGTACAGTGAAGCCGTCATTGTTCATACATCCACATTCCAGTCCACTCTCCTTGGCTGCCAGGTTACATCGATGTGATACAAATTATTTTTGTTATATTAACAATGGCTGGACTATTTCTGGACAGATCTTGTATAACCTGAGAACTTCTATGATGCTTCAGAGACCAATCAGTTCACAATGGAATCAATAAGGACTTAACCTGAATGACTCGAATTCCTTCATCAATTCCCCATACTCTTTGTTTTTACATGAGATTCCCCCTACCTCCCCCATCTCCCTCTCTCATTCTTTTGGTGTGTATTTATATCTTATATATGCAATGAAACAAACCCAAGAAAACAATAACAAGCCAGCTGTACTACTAAATGTACAGACACCCTCAGAGAAGTCTACTACTAATACAAATGGGAAAATATTGTCATTTGTTAACAATGCCATACTGAAACTATAAAACTTACCAAAAGTAATTGTTAGCTACGCTTTGAGAATTTGGTTTTTGTTGATATAAAAGAAAAAAAAAGAATGGAAGAATGATTATTCTTTTCTGCTCAGAGAGTAACATTAAACATATTTTACATAACAACTGGAGCTAAGAATCTTAGTGTTGTGAAAGAGGCTGGGGTACTCTTTCTACATCTGGACTGGATAGATACGTGTGTTTACAGACAGGAGTTATGTTTGCAAGGGGGACAGCCATGTGTGGACAGGTCCACGCACACACACTCACACAGATATTTTCTGTTGTGCACCATATGCATGGATGCGGGTAACTCTGGGGTAGTTCTGACTGGTTTAATAGGATGTTTATACTTAATGGTGTGTGAGGTCATCTTGGTTGATAAGATGTTTAAAAGTGACACTTGTCCTGGTTTCCTGGTGGGCACGGAGAAGGACCATGAGGTGAAGAAGAGGGAGTCATTTCTGAGAGGAGGTACCCAAGAGTACTGAAGTTATGTGTATGGAAATTCTCCTTAATGTGGAGGCATCCGAATTTCACTTTAAATAAAATCTAAGACAAGGTGCCAAAATCAAACTGAACCACCCCCCTGCAAAAAAAAGCAGAAAAAAATCAAAACATGCCATAGAGATAATTTTTGACATTGTTTCCTCACATTCTTTGTTATAAGTTTCAACTGAGTTAATGTTTCTTATTATGTGTTAAACACAAACAGAGAATATAATTCCCTTTACTTACCAGAAACTACTAAAGTCAATTTTCCTATTTCAATAAGTGCCATTATGTTACATACTAACCTCCTGAAATCATTTAATATTTAAACATCTGCTAAGTGAGCAGACTCTGAAACAAATTTTACAGAAATACTAATTTCTCTTTTTTTAAATATTAAAAGTTAGATCATAAATATTTAAAACTTATTTCTCCACAACATTGGATTGGTCTTTTAGATAAATACAGCACAGAACTCGAATGACCACAATGAATATTAAATCTGAAGATGCTACAAGTCCCGATTACAAACACTCTTTTCTGATAAATGATTCCCTTTCTGTGGAAATAGGGCAAACATGGACAAGATTAATAATGCAAAAAAGAAAAATTCCTTGTTCAGAATATTCAGTAATAGATGCCAAAAAAGGCACAAGCTCCAAAGCAAACAGCAATCACCTCTAACAGATTACCTCTTATACAGGTAGACTGTTGGGGACACTTAAAGACAGCTTTTGCCATAGGAAACAGGAAAAGCATGTGGTTATAAAGCAAAAACATATGCATATTGCCAATAGTAGCACCTGCTCAAGTGCAGCGCACTTCGGAGCGGAGAGCTCCTCTTAGCCCCTAGGTGGCAATGCTAGCAAGCACTTCTGGCAGCTGGAGTGGTTAGTGATGAACCACCAGCAGCGGTCACCCAACCCAGGCCAGGCAACCATTACAAAATACCACCACGGATTTCATTATGGATTCTTTTAATGCACGTTTGTAGCTCAGATCCTTGAAAGCAGAGGGGTTCAAAACGCCCTGGCCTCAAACCTGCATCATCTAATGTGGACACGAGGCCGGCGGATCTCCAGCTGCAGTTCACACCTGCCGGGCACAGACATGCCTAGGGCTCCGCTCCTACAGGAGGCGGTCACAACAGCGGTTTTGCTTAATTTGGTCTACTGCTTAAAAAAATACATAGAAACAAGCATGTATTGGAAAGGCTAAGGAGAATTTTTAGATCATAAAGGTATACTGAGGACAACTTCCCATATTAAGTTTTTTCTGAAGAGCTTATCCTCCCCCGCCCCCCGCCCCCCCCACACAGACGCACCTGAAATAAATCTCATTAATAGTCTTGCTTTTTGTCAATGTTTAGTAAAGGCCATATGAAAGTTAAATGAAGAAAATTTTTAAGAGGCAAAACCACCCTTACCCATTTATCCTTTGACATTTTAGGAAATAATTTATATTATTTTCTCCTGAGTAGACTTCCAACATCAAAATTTACTGTGTAAGAACCCTGCTGTAAAATATGGACGCAGGTCACTCTGTGGATTGGGTTGTGTCTTGTTCACTCAGTTGTGTGTTATTTTATGTTCAGAATATTTGCTTGAGCAGCGTCAATCTGTAATGTTTTGGACTGAATTCCTTCCTTTGGAAATGCTGCACTCTGTCTGACTGCCTTGTAAACCTCGTCATTAAAATCATCTTTCTTCTCTCCTCTCCTCTGTTGCCCCGCTTTCTGTCTTCCCCTACGGAGACCGTCTTAATTCAGTAAGCTTACTTCCTTCTCTTCTCTGTCATTATTTTGTTCCCTCTTCCCCGTTACTCTCCCATCCTACTGATTCTTTTGGTAGATACAGATCCCTCGCTCTTCAATCAATCTCTCTTGCTCTTGCTCTCTCTGTTACCCCTGACCTCTGTGCTTCCCTTTTCTCTTTTTCTTCTCCATGCCCACACCCACAGTATATTTATGTTTTGTATTCTAGAAGTACATTAACTACTTTTGTTGGGCAGTAGATGAAAAGAATAGCTCAACAAAGGAAAACAGAAATAATTTTTTCTTCATGACTTAATGTTTCCAATGAGACTTAGCCCTTTTTCCTGTTTTAACTCCTATGCATAAGGATCCAGGTCTGGGTACAAATCAGTGCTTCCTTTCCGGAGACGCACAGACAAGACTCTCTGGAACACGCTGCCAGGGTAGGCTCCGCTGGCAATTTGAGCTACGTTTTAACCTCTCAACTCTGCTCCTGGGGGCACACGAAACTACTTGGAGTCTTCAGCAGTCTGACAATTTTACACCATCTCCTCTGATTATTTTTGACGACTTGAAGTGCCCCAAAGGTGGCCATGGGGTCAATAGGTTTATGTAGGTTGAAAATGATCAAAAATTACCATTGATCTGTAGCTGTCAATAAAAGGCTGCGTGGGGAGACTCTCTGCACAAATGTTTAAACTGCATAAAGCAACCTAACTTAGTCATCTTTGAGTCTATTGATCTGATGATCCAGCAGTTTCCAGAGCTTTCCCTCTGGTCTTTGTGGTGCATTTTCACGGAGCCTGCTTACCTTGGCTCTCAGGAATCTTTTTCCCCGACCCTCTCCTACTCTGAACCCCGACAGGATGTACAGGCACTGATGTGCTCATTAACGGAGTATTATGTGAGCTTATTATACTTGAACAGCGTTCATCTTCCTGGTCACCAGCAACTTCGTTGACCACCAACTTGATGGGGTTTCTTCTGCCACTGCCCTTTATCACGTTAAAGAGGCTGCCTTGAGGGTTATAAACCCTGACTTGGTGGCAGGATTCCTTTCCCTCTGCGGCTTCCGTGAGTGCCGAGATCGGGAGAGTGGGTCACACGGAAAGTCGGCTTTACCTGCGCAGAGGGGGCGCCAGAGGAATCTAGCCTTAAAGATAACGACTTCTGTCTTCTTTAGTGAAGTACCCTGGAGGCTTCTCCTTGGTTTTATTATAAGTTATAGTTTACTCTGTCATTATAAAATAACAGAATGGTTATAGACAGGTTTCTGGTTTCGGTTGCAGATAAAACCCAAGAAGGGGGAAAAGGTCTTTCTGCCACGGCCTAAAACCATGGCTCGGGCAGAGTCCTCACTCACCTGGGTGACTGACGAGTGTTTTAATGTTGACGAATCCACATAAAATATTTCTACCAATTCCTTGAAAGCTAGGTACTTAGAGCCACAGGTCTGGTAGGGCTATCTTTCTTTCTACTTATAAAGTTAATGTTTTCGTTCTCCA